TCATCATCCTCATCATCATCATCATCATCATACTCATCATCACCATCGCCATCATCGTCATCGTCACCATCACCATCAAAATCATCATCAGCATCAGCCTCATTTCCATCATAATCATGATCATCATAATTGTCATCGTCATCGTCATCAGCATCATCATCAGCATCCTCCTCCTCTTCCTCATCATCATCGTCATCACGATCATCATCATCATCATCATCATCATCATCATCATCATCATCATCATCATTATCATCATCTCTTTCGCACTCCTCCTCACCATCCCTTTCACACTCCTCCTCACCCTCCTCGTCACGCTCATGTTCCTCATCCCCCTCTCTCCACCTCCTCCTCCTCCTCCTCCTTCTCGTCCTACTCCTCCTCCTTGTCCCTCTCCTTCTCCCCTTGCCGTCATCATCCCCTCCCCTCCCTCCTCCTCCTCCTTGATATCCTCGATCTCAACCGCCTTCTCCTCCTCCTCCTCCTCCTCACCCGCTCCCCTCTCCCTGCTCAGCCTCCCTTCCGTCTCCCTTTGTGCTCTCGTGCCGAATGCGCAAACTATTACACGCTCGACGCGGCCGCGCAAGTGCTGTGACGCGCCGGCCATCCTCCCCAGCAAGTACGAAGTGTCCGATGCCTTACACTCCTGGTTCGCCCTCCGCCCCCCTGGCTCTCTGTGCAGTGTGCGCGTGAATTATCGATGGTGGTGGCGTTGGTCTGTGCGTCGTGCTTTTCTGAGCGCCTGTTTTCCTGCTGCGTTGGTGCCTGGTGCCTTTTGAAAACTCGTTTCTGCCTGTTTATATGTTCATATGTAGAGAGAAAGAGAGAGGCTGAAAGCGAGCACTGGTAGCGATCAGCGGTCAGTGATCCTCCTCATCCTCCTTCTTCCCCCTCCCCCTCTTCCCCCCTCCCTCCTCTCCTCGTCCTCGTCATCGTCCTCCTCCTCCTTCTCCTATCTTCTTTCTCTTCCTCGCTGTCGCCGACATCATCCTTTTTTGCATCGTCCTTCTCCTCCTCCTCTTCGCCCTCCTCCTCCACGCTTCTGACTGAGGAGAAGGCTAGCAGGATATGTCCTATCCTGGCAACCCTATACAACCACCGACCCTGACCAAATCACTGGGGCCCTGGAACTGTTTGCAAACCTTCCTGGCCTGGGCCAGAAAGTCTGCATACCAGCCCACCACCCCACCCCAACATGGAGTCGGCCAAAGCTGGCGATGGCGAAGACGTAGTTGCCGGTCTCCGAAGGAGGGGGTGGGGCGCCCTACCCTCTACAGCCGCCGTCCTCGACGAAATCCGACAGCACCACCATGCCCATGTCGCGGCCACCAGCGGCTGCCTCGCGTGCTGCCTCACGAGAAGATCGAGGCGGAGCAGCGGGAGGAGGAGGACGTTGGTTTGCTTGTTGCTTCTTCGGGTTGTCTGCTCTGCGTTGTTCTGTTTCGGTTGCCAGGAACTCTAATCAATCATGCTCCAATGCGTTTCGTTGTCTGGACCTCTTTCTAATCATGCTCCAATGAGCGGGGGGGGCGGAAGGAGGTGTAGAGCGTGGTGGAGTGGAATGGGGTGGAGCGGAATGGTAGGAGGCGCACTTAGGCGGAGTAGGGTGGAGCTACGGAAGGGGCGAGGCGGAGCGGGATTAGAACAGGACAAGGTCGGGTAGGGTAGGATGTAGATGAGTGGTGTAGAAAGAAATGGACCATGGCGTGGCGGACTGCACTCCGTTCCGCCAGCAGAATGACTGGAACCCACCCTTGACACTTCACCCCATGTCTCTGTACTGTTTGGAACTAGATTCACTTTACAACAAATCAATTGGTTTGTATACTAGGATAAGCCCAGGAAACCAAAGCCACAATCACATCTGTGGGGAATGGCGGTCAGCACATGCATTTGCTTGTACCATCCACGCTCCCTTTGGCTGCGCGCTGCTTCGACTTGTACTCGTTGGTTTGTCACTGCTGCGCTCCAGACCTGCATTGCAGCTGCTCGTAATGATTGCGCCTTCCTCTTTGCTCCTCCTCCTCCTCCTCCTCGTCCTCCTCCTGCTCCTCCTCTGATTCCTTCGGCTCCGCCTGCTCCAGTTCCCCTTCCCACCCCTTCTCCTCCTCCTCCTCCTCCTCCTCCTCCTCCTCCTCCTCCTCCTCCTCCTCCTCCTCCTCCTCCTCCTCCTCCTCCTCCTCCTCCTCCTCCTCCTCCTCTTGTTTAGCCAACAACAGCCAAACCCGAAAATGGCTCAGCGCCAGGAGCTGCACTGCCGACCCCTGGCCGTTGCGACCCAGGCGCAACCATGTACGGACGTGCCTCTCGTGCCGCACATACGCTCGACCACAAGAAACTTTCCACCAAAAACCCAACCTTGAGACCCCAGGGCGTCCATGTTTTTTTGGTGTGGGAACGTCACGCTTCCCATAGCAAGACCATCGAAACCCCAGAAACCCAGGGCACCCTAGAGGCAGGCAGGGTGTTTTTTTGGCATGGGTTTCCACCGTACAGAGAACACCTGGGACCAGCGAGTAGGTGGAACTTGCGCTGGAAGCAGTGGCCGAGATCCTCTCGGGGCTAGATAAGGCCAATCTGAATAACTCAAAGCACATCGCGGTGTTGAACGTGTCTCCTCGGAACCTGTTCTTGACAAGGACTCGGCCATGCGCTTGGATACATATCGACACAAAATTCCTGCCCAGAAGATCGAGTTTGCACCGGGGGCTACTTCGAAGCTGCAGGTCCAGGCCAGCCGAATAGAAACCAGAAGGGGAAGAGCCAGGTTGCCGCGGAAACGCTCGAGGAGAGGCACGGGCAAGTCTCGGAGAAACTGCACGCAGGTCGTGATAAGGTCTCGGCCGTGAAGTCCCGGCCCACCTCCTTGCGGGAAGGCATCGTCGATGGAGCGGCCGCCCAAGGACGACAGGCTGGCAAATGGCTGTCGCCCGCGCCTGCAGGTCGCCACGGAAACCCTGGTCGATCCGGCCCACGGATCATGCGCAAGCGCGGAGCTCGTAGCCGTCGGAGGCCGTCGCCAAGGCATCCACCGCGAGGGCCTCCAAGGACGAGCTCTGAGGGCGCCGCAGTGCTGGGCGCCGGCAGCCGGCTCTTGCCGAGGGCCAGCAGCACGCCGACGCGGAGCCTGCCCCCGAGCAGCTGCGTGGAAGTGCACCCCCCGTGGCCTGGCGAGGCGCCGGAACGGGGCACGCGCCGATCGGTGGCGCCTTCCAACGCCCCGCCAGGGCGCAAGCCGAGCAGGTGAAGCCCACGCCCCGCAAAGTGCTCGAGCGACGGCGTGCCTCAGCGGGCGAAGAACGGCATGAAACAAAATGTTTCGCCATCGGGGACGCCTGTCTCAGGGCGGCTGGAAAGTTCATACCCCTACGGTGGCAGGTCAGGGTATTCGCTGTCCCGCCGCCCTGTGACGGGCGAAGAACTGCCATACGGTTCTTCACCCTCAACGTGCAAAACACACCCCGAGTTGGGCTGGCACCAGTGCAGGCAGTGGACGAGAATCTCTCTTTTGCCGGGCTGGAGCCCACTGCCTGCCGAGGGTGGCACTGTTGCTGGCATGGCGGAAAACTTCCCTTCTCTCGTACTGCGCAGAAGTTCACTGGATCTCGAACGTAAGCAGCACGGACGAATGCTGCTGGCCGGGCGCCAGCTCATCACGGTAAACGCCCAAACCAGCAACAGCTTCGAGGTCCGCCACCAGGTGAGCTGCCATACGCCAGGCCCGTTGCCAGTTCTAGATCTAGCTCTCTGCTCGTCAGCACCGACAGCCTCCATGCTCCTGACGCCGCAGCGCGGCGGGAGGCCACCCGCACGCTCGTCTGGGCGAGACCAGGGACGCGGCACCCCGAAGTAACCTGCATGCAAAAGAGGGATTTTGAATTGCGACCTGATTCGCCACAGACAGCGGTCAGATGGTGACGGCACTCAGCTGGCTTCATACAAACGAGCATTCGAAAGCATTCAAGCACGGGCGCCAAGGAGAGTACACGTGGCGGGCCGCGGAGAGGGGAGTCGGGCGCGGGGGCGCTCTCACGCAGCGGGGCTGCGGCGACCGCGCGGGGGGCGGCCAGGCTGATGGGCAGCCCCTGGCAGCGCCCAGGGCAGCCCAGGAGATCCCCAAGACCACCTCAAGACGGCCGCAGGGGGCCCCCGAAGGGGCCCCACGGC